TTTCTCATACAATAAATTGGGTTATTTTATAAAATACAACAAAACAGAAATTTAACAGGCTGCTCATTGAAGAAAAAACAGATGAAATGAATAAAATGTGATTTTTAAACTCAAAACTATTATTCATTCATAAGGCCTATTATAATTGGGATTTATTTACATTTATAATTTATGATTTTCTCTAATTTTTGCTGCCTCTTTGTTGGTTCTGTCTATGGCTAAAACCATGTTCAATGGCCCAGTAAGTGGTTCTGAAGTGGCTGTTCTGCAGGTAAATTGTGTTTTCTTTGTTCATTTTGCTGCTAATAGAATAGTTTTGATACTGTTTGCATTCTTAAGTTCTAGTACCAAAACTTTGATGAGTTTCATACAAATTCCTTGAGAAATCTGACCTGCCCAGTGAGTCCAGGTCCACTTTGGTGTAGGACAGATAGGCATCGTACTCTTTGTTGTCTGAAAGAGATTGACACAAACAAAATACAGAGAGAGTCAGTTACGATGCTCAGGGGACACCACATGACACCCATATGACAAAAAGTCAGAGCGTCTGATGCAAATAAACTGCATCGACTCAGTTTCTGCATCACTCAGCGCCGAGGTCTTTAAACAACAACTGAGAGACCGGGGAGACGACTGGAGCCGTTAAATGTCAGATGTTCGACACTTTATAAGTCCTGTGGGACCCCCATCAAATACCTTGCTGTCGCACCACCCTGAAGTGTCCTGGAGTAAAAGAGAGCACTCCAAACAGCTTACCATCTTCAGTTTCATCACTGCCGAAGTGTCTCCTGTAGCAGAGCATGATCTCCAGATTGTAACACTTATAAAGAGCAGTTAGGACTCCCAGCAGCAGCAGGATGACCCCGAGACCACCTGCCAGCTCCAGGCGATACATATCTGTCAGAGATACAACAGGGACAGGGTGAAGAAAGACACTGATGAGATTTATAGGCAATYGTCTGAGGAATACCAGCAGATGGAGGGCTGAAACACAAATGAAAAATACGTCAAGGTTTTGTTTTCTTTGTCTTTAATACGTGAGTGAATCCACAGTAATCTGCCTCAGGGAAATAGATAAGCGAAAGGTTCAATTCCCATCAGATTGTCCCATTTTCTATCATTTTCTGTGCTGAAGACTGAATCTCATTCAGCCTCACAAACACAACCCCAAGAATGGTTTTCAGTTGAAATGATTAATTTTGATGAATCACAGCAGCATTTAGGAGCACTATCAGGAGACTGCTTCTCATTTCTATCAGTTTAGCACAAAAAGAGAAGAACTGCACAAGCGAGGCACAGAACCATTCCCACAAACAAGCTGAAGACGACTGGCTGCTGAATTAGGTGTAAACAACATTAGTTCAGGATAAAAGACTGAATATAAACATCTGAAGAAATTTAATAAAACTCAGCAAAGTAGTCCTTGGTTGCTGCATTGAAAAAAAGATGTTTTGTTTGGTAAAAAGTAACTTAGGAAAAAAGTCAGCACTTATTTAGATGTGGTCCATGCAGACCTAATGTAAACAAGTAGATGTAATCTGACTAAAACTATAACCGTTGGACTGAATTGTTTTTTCTTTTGTTCAAGTTTGAAAGAGAAAAGAAACAATTCTGTTCTTTTTTTAACTCAGTAAGTAACATAAAGTTACACTAAATACATTCTTTTTATATCAGACGGTAAAATTGTATAAATAGAAGAGTATAAATATAGTACACAGTATAATGCAGAACCATGTTTAGCAGCAACATCTACAGTGGTGGGCACGGCTTTGATAATCTGTTATTAGTGGAACTAATTTGTTGATAACATTTACATTAGTGAGCAGCACTAATCCAAAAATTATCTCCACAGTTTCTAAAGCACTTGTGAAAATATTCAGGTCTACAACTTCAAAAATGCTTATGTTATAGAAAAATTAGCAGAAGCTAATTTTAAAGCACAAGATCAATTTGACACTTACTAACTGACAATTCATGTACAATATATGTACAATACTGCCAACTAGTGGTGTATGAACTCTTGTACAACTTAATCCTTCAAGTGCCGATTGCTGGGGATGTGATTTCCTGAAACAGACCTTTAGCTCCTGGTGCAAAAATTAAAAAGTTGTTGAGGATTGCTAGTTCAGCTGCTTCTTTGTCTTTTTCTTTTGTTTGTTGTAGATTTTTCATTAAAGAAGCATCAATAAAGTAATTTTAAAAATGTTTATTGGAAAACTGAAGCGATGCATTCTGGGTACATGATGGACTGACAGGAAACGAAAGCACGGGGAACAGGAAACTGGTATCTTTCCTTTAAAATAAGAGCTTGGATTTTAAAGTTTTTCATGTTTCCATTGGATTCCAGTTCACCTGAAACTCATCAGACTGAAGAAGTCTCTTGGAGCAGAGTCGAAACGTTTCTCTAAAGAAGAACCATCCAGAGGAACTACTGATTTTTTTCTGTTTGATTTTTTTCTACCTGGATCAGGATGTTTTCCATGTAGTTGCACCAGTTGACCACTAGATGTCAGTCTTCATCAGCATAATATCTTTAAATCATTTCTGAGTCTCTAACCCTGTTGGCTGATTGCTTTTGAACTCCAGTGTTTAAACTTTATTTTTTTAAAGGAGCTCTGATTGTAAAGTAAAATAAATCAATACATACAAAATTTTAGTATGGATTACAAACGTTTACTGTTTTTACTGTTGCCTTCCTGCTATGTGAGCAGACACAAAGCATTGTGGGAAATCAGAAGCGTGACCCAAAGCAACAGTCAGCAGGATGTATACCTTCACAATAAGAGTGTTTATCTGGGAGGGGTGCTGTTGGATAGATCACATGTGTTGTGATTCATTGACAGTCATACCTTCTGCTGTTCAACATAATGATGACTGATAGATAATTAGTTATTAGTGGTACTGCTTTTAATTTTAGAAAGAGCAAATCTGCTTATGAATTATAAAAATTGGTAAGTCAGTTAAAGCGCAAACAAAATATTTAGGTCTGCAATTATTGGATTTGCGCTTTAGTGGGCTGGTGCCCACCACTGGTAGTAAAGGAGTTATGTATAGTTCCTGATCTACTCAGGTTAATGATTGGATATCGCACTGAATCAGGTCCCACTAATCTGAGGTCTAAATTAACACAAATCTTTTATGTCCTCTGGCAGACTACAGGTTGAAGTCAGCGAGTATCTGTGTATTGTTAATACTAGAGAGAAACGAACAGCTGGAAACTAATTCCTTGTGTGTGTCAACATAAACATAAACCTGATTCTGATTCTAATATAAACTTTATTAATTTATCTACTAATCAGAAGCACAAACAACTAAAATGACTTGCTCTGTTTCTAATTCCTGGTTACAAATCCTGGAATTGTAATTCTGAACCACTCAAGAAGCTGATCAGGTGTGTACAATCATTTTTAAAAAGTGAATAAGGATCAAGAAAAACTCCAAACTCAAATCTATTAAAGTAAAAAACCTATAATTTTAGGCATGTCCTCATTGTCCTTTGCCAGGGGCGGTTCAAGGGGTGGGGCCACAGGGTCACTGGCCCCTGCTGAAATTTGATTGGCCCCCTGAAGCGCCCCTGTCCTGTCACTCATCTGTCCTTGGCCCAAGAGCACTGATGGTGAATGCAGTTCCATGTCCAAACACTAGAGGCTCTAATGAGGCCAATCTAAAAGTCCAGAATGAAACAAGGAAAACACTGTACGTTTTCCTTGTTTCTCTGCTCCAACACACCCCGGCCCCGGGGTCAGTTGTAACATCTGACTTTTCATTCTCAAATACAAATAGTGAAGAATGTACAGTTGTGGTCAAAAGTTTACATACACTTGTAAAAAAACATAATGTTATGGCTGTCTTGAGTTTTCAATAAGTTCTACAACTCTTATTTTTCTGTGATAGAGTGATCGGAACACATACATGTTTGTCACAAAAAACAGTCATAAAATTTGGTTCTTTACAAGTGTATGTAAACTTTTGACCACAACTGTACCTTCTCGAAGATGGTTGAATCAATGAATGAGAACCCCTTCTTTTAAACGCTTCGAGAACCGAAGAGGGGAGGGAGTT